TGATGTACCCATGAGACCTGGTGCAGAAAAGCAGCTTAGCTTTCAACAGCATGAGTACAACCCAGTCAGAGTCACCAGGGGGATCCAAGAAAGTCTTCAGGGTTTCACTGGGCTCGTTACACAAGCGGGGGTATAGAGGCAGCTGGACAGTTATAGTGCTGTTCATTAAATAATATGGGCTGTGGAAGGGTCTGTAGAAATAGCTAACAGGCTGTAACTCTGTCTCTGGAAATAGCTAGGTGATTGAAATTGGGACTCTTACTGCAACATGGTCTCTCCAAGAACGGATATTACCATCTACACAATACAACTCCTAGATAGGGAACAGGAGCCTCCAAGGTCTAGTTTCTGCCTCAAGCAGAGCTGGCTGGCTTGCTTTCCACACTAGGGTGATCCCAAAAGGAGCCCTTGAATGGCTGCTCCGGGCTTTTCCAATAGTGGCTGTGCATGTCTCCAGGTGTGCCCAGGTTCAGCGTCTGATGATGGCTGCGTATGTGCTGGACTCAGGCTTGGCATCTGTGCTCCATGGGGTCACAGCTTCAGCTGTCCTCTGTGTGAGGGCGTGATGGTCCAGCTGGGCATATGTCACCTCCTGAAGGCTTCCCGAAACAGGGACCTGAGAGAGAGAGAGAGAGAGAGAGAGAGAGAGAGAGAGAGAGGCCCGAGAGACTTAGGGTGGCTGTGGGGGTGGGTACGGTAAGGAGTGAGAAGCTACCTGCAACAGCTCTATGTGTTGTAGTCATGTTATCCTGTGGTCCCCCCTCCCAGTGGTTTTCAGGTTGGATTACATTACTCAGAGACATGGAAGATATAGTTTCTGCCCCCTCTTGTCTTAGAGGCTCTCTCTTGGGAAAGCCAGCTTCTGCGGAGAGCTCCCCTGCCTGTAGCCATTAGAATGTGTCCCGCTAAACAAGGCCTGAGGTGACAGCGTCTGTAGGCAACACTTTTTGAATTCTTCTGCACCAATGTTCCTTACCCAAGGACTGAAGCCATGTTACTAAGCTGCTAAATTTGGGAGCATTTTGTTAGTTAGCGCTAGATGACGAATACAAAGACCTACCTGGGTTTCTGTCCTTCTGTCCTCAAGAAGTCTGTCATCTGTGACTATGTCTATAGAAAAAAAGACATAGGATAGGTCTCTTTGGTGACACTCAAAGACATATCCCACCCCACCTAGAACCCTCTACAAAGTTCTTAGATATTTTCCTTGCCTGTTGCTTCCCAGTGGACTGGGCAA